GAATGAGCCTTGTTTGCACAAAACGGAGTTTGAAGATATCTGCATTCTGTAGCTCCTGCCACATGCCTACATAGCATTTCTTGCCTATGGTGTTTTGTAAACCATAAAATAAATATGAATGTGTACTTTTCTTGTTAACGGCTTGAAAACTAAAATGTTTTTGGAATTATTTTTGGTGCCTTTCCAAGTATTTTGTGAACATAAGCCAAATTTCGGGTAAGGTGTGAAATCTGACACTTTTTCAGCTGCTTTCTACAAATGTAGAGCTTGTCCCTCCCTACCCCCTACCCAAGTAATGTGTTTGTAGGATGTAAGTGATAAATAAAAAAAACAACAATCTATAAGTTCCTGGTCTTTTTCATTCTTCTTAAATTATTGTTTATACTCTTTATTTCGCCGTGTTATGATGGTTGACCTTTAATTTTTGCTAAGAAAAGGAGGAACTAAAAAAAAGGCCTAAGCACAGACAGGAGTTTAATAGGTAGCTTTACACCTAGGTGAGTCATTCCTTTTCTGTTACTCTTGGTGCTTGCAGGTCTGTTACTAAAAATTTTTATTTTTTAAGAAACAAGGAAACTTATTTTATTTAAAGTGCATCTCAAAGCTCCTTACTTCTCCCAGTTACAAAAGAGTTAGGCCAAATGACATTCTAAGTTACTCTAGTGACATCACTGTACCAGAACCATCTGGCCCTTTGGAAGTAAAAACAAAAGTAATAAAAATAAGTGCTGTCCCCATTGTCACAAATGTGCTTGCTGATGCCTTAAGCCAAGGGTCTTCAAACTTGGCAAGTTTAAGACTTGTGGACTTCAACTCCCAGAATTCCTGAGCTAACATGACTGGAGGAGGAATTCTAGGAGTTGACGTCCACAAGTCTTAAAGCTTTAACCATTGTTTCGTAAGCCAGTGTTTTCTCGGGGATTCTGGGAGTTGAAACCCACTCATCTTAAAATTGCTGAAGTTGAGAAACAATGGCTTAAACAAAGTATTCTTGCATATGTAATACCTGAAAAGATTTGTAATGTTTGATGCTGTAATTTTTACAGCATGATGCCATACAGGAAATAGAAGTATTGAACAAGCATCTCCACTTTAACCATTATAGCTCAAGCACTCAGTATGACTTCTGTGCTAAGGATCTGCTCTCTCCTGAGGTTGTTCAGAATTGGTTCCTTCTGGGTACATTTTGGCAGAATACTTCCATCTGTTAAAAAGCCAGTGAGGATGGAACATTTATGTGGCAATCCTCTTCCATAATTTCTAGCATAAAGGGTGAAATTAGTTCTTCAAACAAGTGGCTAATAACTGTTTCAAGTGGACTTTTTCTTCTGGTCTGAGAGCTAATGATTGAATAAATGTGGCATTATGTTTAAAAAATTCTCCAGTACACCCGTTGAATATAGGATTGACAGGTAATTGAGGTACAAGTGATAGTGATGGTAAACTTTCACATAGTTTTCTGCCATTTTGGAGTTAGGCAATAGAATAAAAGTGGTGAACTAATTCATCAATATTAAATACCAGGCATACGTCACACATGCAATGGCCAGATTGAAACTTTTCCTTCCTTTCAGGGAGATGAGGCCTCTTTCAATATCAAGGATGCTAGGCATGTAATAAGTTGTTTGATAGTTGAAAAATGTAGGATCTTATTCAGCAGAACTAAGGTTCTAAAGAGGCTACTTCATGGTCTGGACATCCTTCATCTACTTATCAGTCAATGGGGTTTAGATCAGCAAGTCAGTTAGGTAGAAATACATGTCTATACTCATGAGGTGGGCTCAAGCATTCATGAATACCCTGGGTTTGATGAAGGTCTGAATGGATGGGACTTGAATTAGTAGTAAGCACTGTGGTATTTGAACTTCAGGGACCTCTTGTTAGATACAGGCACTGAGAGGTTTGGTCTAAGTCAGAGGTAGGGAACTATGGCCCTTTTATGACTTGTGGGCTTCAACTCTCAGAATTCCTGAGCTAGTATGGCTGGCTCAGGAATTCTGGGAATTGAAGTCCATAAGTATAAAGGGCATAGGTCCTCACCCCTAGTCTAAGTAGACAGCAGCTTCATTTGGAATGCCAGAAACTTCTCTACTAATTTCTAGAAAGTGGCATACTGGAGGGAAACTTCCTAGCAGAGCCAGCTGATCTTGGAGGCCCAGTAATTGAGGATGGGAGGTGTAGACACCTGATCATGCAGGATTCTACCGTATCTCTTAGACCAACTAGCTCTGTGGATGACTGGCACTGGGCCCTTAGACAGTGGAGAGTTTCTACAATTCACAGTGAGTTGGTGTGGTACTGGCTAACACCTCCTGGAGAGAACTTGGTGATGAGATAAAAGATTGTGTTGTTCACTGTGGAAAGCCATATCCCAGCTCGGCGTCAACTATCATTGAGGTCTCATGTATCCTTGGATGGTGAATTGCTAACACACTGGTTAATGATGTTGGGCTTTTGAAGTAACACAAAGGAAAAAGGAAAACAAAGGTTGTGAACTATCTTGATTGAGGGAATACTCATTAGAACCAAGGAGCAAGAAGCATCATTGGAAGCCTAAGTTGTAGAAAAAAAAATAACCTAAATAAGCTTTAACCATGAACATAGGTTGCTATTGATGTCTTGGAACCCACAGCTTGGGTATTAAGGAAAGGACTGCCACTGTCATTCACTTGAGCTGAAATGCGCTGAAATGAGCTGATGTTGCAGCTGAAACAGGCACTTTTCTTCTGTGGTTGCCCCCTCCCCATCAAACTTTAGCTCATAAAATTTTCAAGATTTGTTAGACTTTTTTTTTAAAAAAACCCTCACATTAATGGTGCATTAGCTGAGGGTGGGGAGAGAGATCGGGGTTGGTACTTGGCCATCTGTTGGACTTTTGGACTTTGTTCCTTAATTGAACATTTAATTTTCTCTTTTAATATCACCCTAATCTGTCTCTCTCACATACACTGAACATGTTATAAAGAATCCTGGCATTGCTGGATAAATACTGTATAAATAATATAGTTTCCTTGTATTTCCTCCACAAAGGTGACAGACTAAATGAAGCAATTGGCTTCTGCAACTGAGCTGAATTTTGCACTGTTTTGCTAGTTTGTTTACAGTTTCTTGAAACCAACCAGGTTAATACCATTTCACATACTGGTGAAAAGCTTGAGTGGGCAAATATCCAACTAAGGAAGCATAAGTCCAACGAGGGAGTCAAGGCACTGGCTGGCAATAAAAGGGGAAAATTCCTATTTATTTTCTTCCTTAAGAGTCTAGTGTAGCGGTTAAGGCACCAGGCTAGAAATCAGGAGACTGTGAGTTTTAGTCCCACCTTAGGCACCAAACCAACAGGCTGATCTTGGGCCAGTCACTCACTCTCAGCCCTGGAAAGGAGATACTAGCAAAATCAAATGGCACTTCCAAAAAAAACCCCTTGCTAAGAAAACTGCAGCAGGAGTAAAACACTGACTCTCTACCCACCACTCTCATCTATCTGTTTATCCATTATTTTATTGTAGCTATATAGGCAGTCATGTCTATGGATGGTGCATATGAAGATGGAGAGGAATTTTTTCCTCTGTAGGAAAAAAATGAACAAACCACAGGCTGAATCTTACAGAACTTTGTGAAGAGGCCTGTCTGTATGTTTCTTTAACTCAGAGATCTCCAAACTTGGCAACTTTAAGACTTTAGCTGGCTGTGGAATTCTGGGAGTTGAAGTCCACCAGTCTTAAAGTTGCCAAGTTTGGGGACCCCTGCCTTAACTCATCTTTGCAGAACCTGGGGAGTTGGGGGGGGTGTTAATAAAAGTCAAGATGACAGATGTGACCACATGTTCAAAGTCCTGAGTCATTGGCAAGTTAAAAAACAGGCTTTGATCATGTAGTTGCACCCATCTTGTTGTCTTTTTTGAACTAGACACACCTGATATCACATTTATAAGACAAGCAGATTCTGATTAACTCCAATTTCCCAGCCAGCTATGCAGTCATTTGTCACACCAACTTAACAAGCTTATTGTTCAGAATGCAGATATTTTATCAAATGTCAACCTGAAATCTACAGCTACCCCACAATTTATTAAGAAAGTTATCTGATCAAATAATAAGATAAGATTGCTCTGGCAAAACATGTTTTTGAACAATCTCTGCTGACATCCGGTAATTACCACATTATTTTCAAGGTAGTTACAGATTGATCTCTTTATGACCTGTTCTAGGATCATGTGGATTAGCAGCTGACTTTTATAAATTAATACTTTTTGTTGTTGTACATTATCTTATATTGTGTCCATATGAATGGGAGAAAAATAGCCATATAGATAGGAAAGACAATTTATCTAACTGTGCCTTGAATTATTATATGTGTTACTTCTTTGGAAGGGGAATGATATCTTTTAATGGGATAGTGCTTAACCAAACATTAGTTTTTGGTAGGGCTGCTTACTATTATATAAGATAGGGGTGGGGAACTATGGCCCTTTTACGGTCTGTGAACTTCAACTCCCAGAATTCCTAAGCCAGTTTCCCACCCCTGATCTACACCCCTGCAAACTACAATAGAATGGCAACCATAGTCTGCTTTTTTGGTTATTATATTTTAGGCTCCCCCCCAATTGTAACAAGTTTTTAATTTTTTTTGTTAACTACTATGAGGGGCTTCCTGATGGAAAATTTTTAACCCCTGTAACTACCAATCAGCATAGGTAATGCTTAAAAATGTTGACCATCATGGGCAAGTATCATCTGGTAGGCTACAGACTGATCACCTGTGCTATTGTTTTTGATATTTGACATCTGTTATCTGTTTTGTGTAGAAGGAAGAAGTACATATAAGACTATAAACATGTCACATTGTCTCTGGATTCAATTGTTATGGGAATGTAAGGTCAGAAGTTAATTATAGTAAGACAACATGAGGTCATGCGTTCTAGTAGTGAATAGTTACACCTAATTTAGGAATTGACAGACCAAGCATTTGCTATAATCTGTCTCTGAAAACTTAATTTTATAAAGTATTGAGATAAAGGCTGAATTACTATAAACAGCAGAATTTTAATAAGGAAAACATGATTGAATTGTACACAGAAGCAGTGTATTTTTGATTTAAATAAAATCATTTTTTCAACCGATGAATTCGACTTCATTTTAAATGTGATGACTCTCACTGATGAGGCAGCATCCTACTTGGAAGTTAGGAAGGCATCTAACCCAGTGTTCTATTTTCAAAAAAGACTGAGCAAAGATTTGCAGGAAGCCCTGAATCAGTGACAAGAAAACAATGGCCCTTTCTTGATACCTCCTCAATTCATAAATCCCTTTGGTAGTCATTGATATGGAGCCTTTGCAAAAAGAGATGTTGTATATCAGTTAAAGCTAATAGGAGTTGTCTGTGTATGGAAGGCACATCGTAGGTCTCCATAAGACAAACCTCTCCTTTCTCCATTTAGTCCTCCCTCCTTCTCTCCCATTTCAAGATCCAGCATGTATTTTATTTTTATTTATGTTAATTCCCTGTAATTTCCCCATTGGAGACATTAGAGAAGAAGAGCTCCATTAATCTATGATAGTCAAAAAATCAGAAACTTGGTCACACCTTTTGGGGCGAACATAAATAAGCTTCCATGAGCTTATTTTGTAAGTCAGAAAAAGAGCTACTAGACACTGATTTGGATCTGCAATTTCCTGTAATTCATTATCAGAATTGTCCAGGAATGTTATATGCTAATTCTTAGAATCAAGAGAGAAAGAAAATAAAGGCCCAAATATTATCAGTGCATATATACAGTATACGGCTGTCTTAGCCACAGGAATGATGCTTAAATCATCGTGCATAAATCATTTCTGATTTACTGTATGTTATTCAAAGAAAATTAAACATAAATGGGTTTGATTAAAAAGCTGTATGTCCACAAAATCCATTTGTTTGTGTGTGAGATAATCAACATTAATTATTTTTTCTTTAAAAAACCTCTATAAACAATAAAGGCTACCTACATGTAGCATTTTCATTTCTTTTTATAAAAACCGTACAAAAGGAGACATCAAAGTAGACAAATCTAAGCACTATAAAAATCTATCTGGGAAACATACATATTCATGAACTGAATAGGTAAGATTCCTAAAATTCTAAAGTATAACAAATATTTTAAAAATTGAAGTTGTTTTTCCACTAAAATAGCAAAATTCAGAAAGAGATCTCCCTGCATGCAAAGTACCACCTGAAAAAGGAGTTCTTTTTTTACATTAAAAATGATGGGTTCACTCCACCAGGAAGTTTTCTGCAAGACTCACCAAAACAAAGAGAAAAGACAGAATAGTGCAGCCATGCTGTTGTGCAACTCTAGCTTCTACCTGTTATAATTGGGCTTATGCAGTAGATCTTCTAGGGGATTATGCATTTATCTTTGATTAGAGAAATTATTTTAATGACAACAAGACACAGTCTTGTAAATTCTGTGTTCACCAGTTCTTTCTGGCATGAAGATCACTGATTGATCACACACTGTGCAAAAAATATAAAGTACATTGCGTATAGTTTGAAAATATATAGAAACAGCTTTCCTGTACAAAGCTCTAAGTAATTAACAGCTCTTACCCACCCAATCCAAGTACTGAAATTGCTAAGAGATTGCTATCTCAGTGATGAGAAGCAATAGCATGTACTCAGAAGATGAACTGAAGCCTCCTAGATTGGTTCCTGTTGAGTGCAATAGAGATCTCCACATAATATTGTCAGTGTTACTCATCAGTGCCTCCTAAGCCCTGGTTGAAGTTACTAAGGAACTGAAATTCTGGACAAACTCTAGCAGCATAAAAAGAGGACTCCATAGAAAATATTAACTAAAAAATTGAATGTCTTTAAATTGGTGGAGGTCCATTAATATATCGTAGCATCGGGTAGAAAGAACGAGCAAAGTTGTTGGTTTGAGTACAGCTGTAGTCTTCTTCTGAGACGGGGATCAAGGAGGCCAAAAGCAACAAGAGAAGGAGGAACAATTGTAAAGGTAATGCTGCTCGAAGGACACGACAGAAGAAAGCATGCTTCTTGGGTGCAAATGAATTGGTCTCTTCCTTCTCCCCCATCCTGCAAACAGAGGACAACTTATAAACAGGGCAAGCAACTTGTACATAAGAGAGCAAACCTCTCTCTCTCCTGGCACTAATGATGTTACCTAGTTGGTAATGTCTGCAAGAAAATAATCAAGTTCAGAGACCACCAAGGAACCGCACAATTTACAAACTCTCTTGTACCAAGTGAGATTTTGATTCCATCTAGCCCTATATTGCCTGTTTGACTGGCACCACCTCTTCAAGCTTGGATACCAAATGTCATGGTCAAAAACAATTGCTGGACTGAATTCTTGCAAAAAATATTGTTAAGACTTGCTTCAGCATGAAATATTTTTGTGGTCTGAACTATTAAGACTTGTAATTCTACACCAAATCCCATGGTTTTTAATATGAAGTGTCATAAATATTTCACAAGTCATGCATTGTGAAAACTATGAATACTTAAAGACATTAGCAACCAACCATGCAGCTAGTGTCTAATAATTGAACTCAACCTGACATTGAGATCATGCAATTACCATGCTTTGGACCATGGAGAAGAAGAGAAGACTGACTCTTTCACTCCCTTCCATGTTTCTGACACAATTCAAACTTGAATGAATTTCTTTTTTAAGAAATTCATCCCTTGGGGACTTTGGGATTTTGGGGGAGGACTGTGGCATAAAAGATTACATCACCTCTCCTTCCTTCTACATAATCCTAAATTGTTTAGCATTTCCTACAGCTAAGGAAATCTGCGTTCAAATCATCAATATTTCTTATTGAACTTTAAATCTATTGGAATTTTGATACTAATTTTTAGTTCACAGAAGAAACTGTTTATTGAAAAGCATTACCTAACATTGCTGCTGGTATTACTCTGCAGGATCTTCTTTTCATCAACCTGTAGATATTTAAAATGCGATTACTACTGCTAGACATAAAAAAATAAAACCCCAAAGCAATAGCATGTACAAAAGGCAAACACATTTAAATTGCATATAAATACAGTCAGACTAGCAGTATTTTGGCTGTACAATGCATCCCTTCTGCCATAGTCTCTATACTGCCAGTTATCATGGGGTCTCAGGAATATACTAGTATAAATAAAGTATCCTTTAACATGTACACAAACAATGGAATTTACTTGGCCCAATGCATAGTGTGTGGGCAAAACCATGAGAGTCAGTACCTGAAAGCATATACAGGTAGTCCTTGACTTACAACCACAATTGAATCCAACATTTCCAAAGCTAAGCAAGACATTTGTTAAGTGTATTTTGCCCCATTTTCTTTTTTACCTTCCTTGCCACAGTTGTTGGCAAGAATCATTGCATTGTTAAGTGAGTAACCCGCTTGTTAAGTGAAATCTTGCTTCCCCGTTGATTTGGTTTATCAAATCGCAAAAGGTGATCATAAGGTCCTGGGATACTGCAACTGTGATAAGTACATGCCAGTTGCAAAGCATCTGAATTTTGATCATGTGACCATGGGGATGCTGCAACGGCTGTGTGAATAACCATCACACTTTTTTCAGTGCCGCTGTAACTTTGAATTGTCACTAAATGAATGGTTGTAAGTCAAGGACTACCTATTAAGACTGAATGATGACAGAGAAAAAGAAACAAATTAAGGGGGAAAAATCTTTTACAAAATAACCATCAAACAACTTGCCTTATTTTTAGAAATGGGAGATTTCTCTGGTAATTGATGATAGCTTCCAGAATCCAATTCTTCCCCATTCACCTGAAATGTACTTACATCCTAGAGGAACAAACAAGAAGAAAGCTTTACCTCTGTTATTTCTCCAAAATTAGAGTTGGAGTAATCAGATTTGGAACATGCAGTCCAGCCAACCTGTCTTCCTTGTGAGGCCTTTAAGTCACATGAAACTCCTTCAAGAAGCTGTTTAAGCTTCTTCCCAATAACATGGACCTTCTCATTAGCTTCAATATATTTTTCTCCGTCAGGTTTGACAAGCAAATATTCAGCAATTTCCTGTAGATTATTTACTTGGAGCTGCCGTTCCAGAAGCTCTTTTTCCAGTTGCTTAAAGTATATAAGAGGAAACATTAACAACCATAGGAAGTTGCCTCCTAGAGAATCATATCACTAGTTCATCCATTCACTTTACTCTGGCTGATTGTAGCATTTGCGAGAGAGTCTTGGATTAGAGATGCAGCTGAATATCTGGACTTTATACATGCAAACAATATAACAATACTTTCCAATGAATCCTGCTTCATGTGAATGAAACATATATTAGGACACCAAACAGGACTCCAATGCCCAAAAGCCAAAACTAGATGCTTGGCATTCCAACATCCACTCAAATACATGTCAATCAATCATGCTTGGATCTCTACACTTGCAATAGGCCATGGGTTGCAATAACCATGGTTGGTTGGACCCCTAGTTTATATATAATTCTAAATGAAATTTATGGAACAGATTTATGAGCTCTGTAGTGGGGAGTAGAGCAAGTCCCATTGTTCAAAAGGAGGCCCAATGCATAGTGCTGAATATAACAAAGATGCAATAATTTGTCTCTAGATGCTCCAGATTTTTTTTTCTTTCCAAATTTACCATTAATTCCTTTCGACTTTCCTGTATTCTGTGAGGATCAGCAGTTGGCTCCTTAACTTGTGCTTGGTGTCTCCGTGTCTCTGCAGCAGCCAGCCACAGCAGCAGTTTCTGATTCTGTTCATGAAAATCCTGCAGAAACAAGTACTCATTTTTCAGAAAATAATCATATAAAAACACATTAAGTAACCTCAAGATGTAACTTTGTGGCAGCTGATTCATTAAATCTTCAAGTACTCCTCGACTTACAACTGGGACTGGAATTTTCATCATTGAACAATGCGGCTGTAAAATCCAACTGTACTGCTTAGCAGTGGTAATTCCTGCAGTTCCAATTGCCATCTTTAACCAAATCCCACGTTGTTGGGTGATGTTAGATAAGGCAATTTCCTGCTAACTTCCTACAGCCAAAGTCACGAGGACAGGAAATTGCAAGACTTAGTTAAATAGCTAATGCTGGATTGGGGGGGGGGGACAAAGCGAGGAGGTGTGCAGTGAAGGTGCAGTGTGGGTTGGGGAGGGCAATAGTGTACAAGAAGCATGGTGAGGGTTGAGGAGGGTGCATAATGTGCAGGGGAAATGTAAGGTGAATTGGGGAGCATGTGATGTGAGGGGATGCATGGAAGGCACATTTGGATGCACAAGAAACACAGGACTGTGGGAGAGGATTATCCCAGTGATTTGTGATTTTCCCTGCTGGCTTCCCCACTGACTTTCTGGGGAAGCTGTCAGGAAAGGTTGCAAATGGTGCTAATGTGATAGAAGGGTGCTGCAACTGACTTTAAGTGTGAATTGGTTGCTAAGTGCCTAGATTGCAATCATGTGACTATGGGGGAATGGTTTGCTGGGACGGACAGAATTCCCAAGGACTGGCTGTAACCACTATTTGTTCATCATCATTTTAAATGGTCACTGAGCACACATTGAGGCTGCCTGTACATAGGCATTTGCTAACCTATTAATTTTAACTTGTTAAGAATAAGGTACAAACATAATGTGCTATTGTGCTATTTACCTGGCAATGAATCAGAGCTTTCTGTAAATTCTTCTTCCAGTTTTCCAGTAAAATATTTGCCTTTTCCCACCGTAAATTTACCCGACGAAGTCTGTTCTGAAGCTCCTTGTATCCAGTGCTATCTGTTTGCTTGAAATCTTTGCTTGTCAGGTTAACAGACAGTACAAGGGCCTTGTAGTTATTATAGGCTTTAAGCATATCCTGATAAGGGGGGAAAAAACAAATTTGAGTTCTTTGTGGGAAAAAAAATGATTTTAAGCAGCAGCACCAAAATAAGGTTGGAAAAATTTCCTTCTATTTATTAGATGCGTATACTTTTACTGCAGGAGCTCAGCGTAATGTTCATAGGACTGCCTCCTCTTCCACTTTCTCCACCATAGCAATCCTGCGATGGAGGCTGAGCTGAGAGGTGATTGGCCTGGACACCTAGTGACTTTCCAACAACTAAGATTGGACTCTGATTGACTCAGACCACCACCTTAAACCACTGTAGAAATTAGCACCCACCCCTCTCCTAGAAGAATGAAATATTTTAGAAAATATTAAAAAGGCATTCCCTAAAGGAGGAATGGAGAAACATGCTCTTGGAGACAGAAAGCAGCCCCCATCTTTCGTAATAGCCATGAGCAGATGCCAGCACTTAAGAGATAAAGAGCTTATTGAGAACTAGATAGCTCTATTCATAAGCAAATACCCTCACTCAAGATCCAGCACAGGGAAAAGCCACTAAGCCATAATAGGAATTGCCCAACACCCTTTTAGAACACAAGCTCCTTCACTGCATCATCTCAGAGCAGACCAAACTTCAAACCAACTTAGCTCAAACAAACACCTAGGATTTGTACTTTGGCTATAGGTCCAGCTATGACCCCTACATAACCCTATATGGCCCCATGGGACTCTGACAACAGCCAATAGAATACATGTTCTTGCAGAGGAACAGGAAACTCAAGTGCAAAGCCCAAGAGAACGTATAAAAAACCCCCACTCTCAACTCCATGTGATCAGCTGCCCAAAACCATATGATTGGTGGTTCTGTCCATCATTAAACCCTCTTTCCAATCAGCCTCCAGCCTCCATTTTGTCTCCAGTGCCTTTCTCCCAGCTTGGAACTGAACCAGATGGGTATTTCTTCCCACACCACACTGGCTCTCAGTGTGTTCTGCAAATTGATAATTTGTATTCTACAGTGTATTCTACAAATTGGAAAGGAAAGCTGATAAACTACATTCAAACTAGTGAAGTTGATTTTATTTTTGTTAGTACAGGACATCCTGACAATTGTAAACTCCTGTGTTTAGTCAAAAGCACAAGCGTTTTCAAAACACAACATGTGAAATTTGGATCCACTTATTTCACTGGGATCTATTGCTATACTATGAGAGCTTTTTAATGACTGAACTTCAGGATGTCCTTTTTGTATCAAGTGGTTTTCAGGTGGACTCTGACCCAAGAGTCCTACAGCATAGAGAATAGAGAAAATGCAATATCCAGAGACAAAGACCGCACAAAGTATGTGAAAGAGACAATTTGCAACTTGCATTGTTTGCATGCACTTACATGGAGCTTTCATGAGACTGCAGGCAGTTCTTAACTTACAATCATTCATTTAGTGACTATTTGAAGTTAAAATGACACTGAAAACAGTGACTTATGACCATTTTTCACACGACCGTTGCAGCATCCCCATGGTCACATGATCAAAATTCAGATGCTTTGCAACTGGCATGTACTTGCGATAGTTGCAGTGTCCTGGGGTCATATGATCACCCTTCTGATAAGCAAAATCAACAGGGAAGCCAAATGTTAGTAAACAAGCGTGTTACTAATTTAACAACTGCAGTGATTCTTGCCAACAACTATGGCAAGAAAGGTAAAAAAATGGCCCAAAATTCACTTAACTGTATTGCTTAGCATGGAAATTTGGGGTTCAATTGTGGTTGTAAGTCGAGGACTACCTATATTAGGCAAAGTGAAAGTAGTATCAAGCAGCATCTGAACGTCCACTGTTGGGGAAAAAAGATTGAAAGGCTAATGGACAATCTGTCCGAATCAGCGATATACTGCAAGTGTTGATCAAAGAGATTATTTTTGTTTTTCAGCTTTTCCTTTTTTTAATCACCTTCAGTTTCTTGACTTTCTGGTCTATGGCCTGAATACTGTTCACTGGTTGTGGTTCTTCCTCCTGCAACCCCTCCATTTCCTCTTCCATTTTATCAAGCCAAATATCAATGTTGGTAAGGTCAGCATTCAGCTGTTGCCACTGCTGCCACGTTTGCTTCATTCTCAGCTTGTTGCTTAGGTCTTGAACTTGAAGGAGTTCCCATCTTTCAATAGTCCCTGCAGTTTAATACAAAATTATTCAGGGTTTTTAAAAAACAACAACAACTTTGGGTCAGATCAATGTTATTTTGGGCACATGTTGGTCTCCTTTGAATTCAACTCAACTAGTCTCACAAACACAAGCAGTGGTTACAATATGAGAATGAAATCTGAGTTAATTTCAGGATAGCATTTTAAGGGCTGTGCCTCTACTAGTATTAGAGTAAATACAATATCAATAGGGTTTTTTGGTAATTGCATTATTTTCAAAACTCATTTGCAGTGCATAGTGGGTAAATTGAGATGAGATGATGGCAGAATTGTTAGGTGGTAGGAGGGGGTCATACCCCTTCAGAACATTAGTGTGGTGTATCTTTTTGTCCCCCCCCCATGAATTAATTTTCCCTACAAATAGAAAATGTTCAAAATAGCCCCACTGCTTTTTATACTTCAATTTCCAAATAGTGTATTTAGAGGAAGGACTATTCTAAATTAGAAATGTAATATATTACCTCTGGAGTCTGCGAGCCTAATTGTCCTGTGAACATTAAGCCAGAAATAAAGGCAGATACATTCTTGGGACCAGAAGGACTATTTTATTTAATGTGCTCCTTCCCAACCACTTACTCAAGGTACTATCTTATCACATCTGGAGTAGAAGGAATAAGAACATATAAATAGACCTTTCTCCTTTGTAAATCTTAGATTTATGATTTTTTTGTCACTTGGGAAATCTATTTAGACCTTCTGTAATAATGTTTCAGCATAAATTGAACATCTGAAAGTTTTGGGAGGTCTTTTGATCTGATCAGTGCTTGCTTTTTCCTGTCAAATTCCCTTGCTTTTTAAATCTTAATTTCAGCTTGTTCAACTCTTTGATCATCTTTCCGTTGTATATTAGAAATTCTGATTATTGTAATTTAAATTAATCATTGTAATAGCATCTATTCATATTATAGTTGTCTCTTTTCTGTTCCTTTTCTCTTTCTGTTGAGATTTAAAGAGCTTACATTTATGTATTTATTTATTCCCCATTTTTCAGTTCTGAGAAATTTAACTTCAATGATGCTATTATTACATGGGAAAAAATACATCCTAAATAATTGTTACTTTTATATGTAAACAAATATATTTAAAAAATTAACAGGAACCATGGCTAACATACCTGGCTGTTTCTCTATGCCTGAGACACTAATGAAGTTCTGGCTATTTTGAGAATCTTTACTAGGCAAGATCCTAGAAATGTCTTTTATGTCATCCACACTCCTAGTGCTCAGTGGTATCACCTGAAATACACAGAATAGAAAGTAAATAAGTCTTCTGGCAATATATCATATTCTCACACAATTATAGCACAGATTCGCAGCCAACTATTCTTTATTGAGAAATGTATAAATGGAATATCATTTGATATTCCACTCTCCAAATTTTCTTGTCTTGAAAAAACTCCACTATTTTGTACGTATATAGACAGTTAGCCTGTCTGTTACAAGCTAATTTAACCCCGTTTTTTCATAATATATAGGCACCCCAGACTTACGTTGCCTGGTTTGTAGGATGTGCTGGAATCCTCATTGTTTGATAAGACACTTCTAACCGTCTCTTCCTGGTTGTACGAATGCTTTCGACAAACTGGGTGTTCTGAAGGATGCCATATGTGAGTTTCAGCAGATTTCCCTGTTGTGCAACATGGTAAAAGGAAGCCACAGAAAATTAGATGTAATAGAAAAAATAATTAAAAATATTTACAGAGAAGGAAGGATGGCATGACAAAAAATGGATAATATTGCCATTTGTTTTGCAAAGCATGCTTGTTTGCAAACATGTTTCAGCAGTGTTTCATGGGCAGTGAAATGAGAGCCATGCAGTTATGAGGATATTCTTTTCTGAAAACGCCCGAAGAAAATAGGAGTTCTTACCACCATCATAAAAGAAGAGATTGGGAAAGGTTGAAAAGCACTTCTGGACTTGAAGCATGACCCCAGCAGTAAGCAGAATGAGGTAGCTTATTTCAGGAGGCAGCTTTGGGGATTGCATTATAGGTCAGCTAATGGTAATTATTTAGTGTATTATATATTTTTTTTACCATTAGACTTTTAGAGAGTTGCCACTCAATTTTTCTGTCTGAAATATCAATACATATTCAGCTTCTTGGGCTGAGAATGTGATTGGTCAATAAAGATTTTAACATTTGTATTAGGTTCTGTTCAAGAAAGCATCTGAACCTTAGTTCTTCTAAAGGGTAATAAGTGCTCAATTGTTTTGGGCTACAGATATAAAGAAGGATCCAGATTGCCCTGTCGGACCCTAAACTGAATGGCAAAGGGAGCTTTAAAGCAAAGCTAAGTTGCCCTACAGGTGAAAGGACCAGCAAAATTGTCGATGCATGCCACAGTGTGAGGAACAAGCAAAGAAGGCCTTGATGCCTTTATACTGGTATGGAGAACTAAAAATGCATAGTCTTAACTTTGGTAGAGACATGTGGGGATGATGTAGCATCAAATAAACAAAACAAAAAAGAGAATCCACCATGAGCCAATTGGTGCATGGTGTTGATACAAGCTAGGGAATCAGAAACCTGCATATGAGGAAGGTGTGAAGAGCACAGCGTGCGGCACAGGGAAACTGTCATGTTGAGACACATGCAGTAGCAGGTGCCTACCAGAAGCTGCTTTCAAAGCTTTTGTGGTCATTTTAAGATATGCCTCAGGATGTTCAGTGATTTCTACATCTGAAAAAAGAATTAACGTCACCATTTGCTTTGCAAGAGTCTGTTCACTCTTCCCTTCCCACCATACAAGAATGTAGCATTACGGCAGCCCCAGATGGATCCTGTTAAATATCTATTAATTGAGCATTCTTTTTCCAAATAAAACTAGTGGTCAAAATGCCCTGAAGTAAAGTATAAAGGCAGCAACCATTTAGCTACATGCCCTTATAAAATTATCCACTGTTCGTCTCTTTTTGCTATTCTTTTAAAACTGTTAATTTTCTTAATAGTTCTAAAAAGAAAAGGCAAAAGAAGAAAAGGCCGAGATAGATAGATAGATAGATAGATAGATAGATAGATAGATAGATAGATAGATAGATAGATAGATAGATGGGATAAATAAATGGGCAAAGGCCCTCAATGTTTCTTTTTTATTAGGTTTATGATTTCTGTTTCCTGCAATGTTTGCTGACATCAGAAAGACCACAAATACAAGGCTTTCAAACAATGATTGCAGCCAGGCTTTGATCAGGGAAAACCACATTCGTATTTTAAAAATGCCTTCTAAAATATTTTTTTAAAGTATATGCGACAACTGCAAAGGGAGCAGGATCACTTTCTCTTTCAGTAGTACATATATATATAGTGTATCCTACCCAATTCACAATATTTTCCACTTGGTTTTCTGCCTAGGTAGTCTCCATGGGAAATAGGAAATCAGAACCTCTGCCGGGGTGAAATATGCACAGCATTGGTTTTTTCCCTCACAATTACTTCTTGCTTTCCCATCTACACATTTGAAGCTTTGCTGAATATAATTTGTAAACTACTCTGAGTCACTTAGATAGTAAGAGGGCAGTGCATAGATTTGTTTAACAAAGAAAATAAATCAGAACAAATTGAACAAAAGGGTTTTGAGACAGAGAAAGAGTGAAGGTTCATTTTCCCGCTACAAGTTTATCAGCATAACAAGTTCCCTGCTTTAAGTAACTAGCATATCAGGAAGGACTGTGTTAATTTTTTCACTTGATGTGGTAGTTTTGACCATGCAATGGTCCTTTACCAACATAATCACATTGTTTTATAGCAGGTCTATTTGTCAATATTATGCAGCACAGTACAGTAGCATTCCTAAAGTCACAAATAAAACCTTTTAAGTCAACGTGTCAGGTATAGTTTACTTCCAAGCTCCTCTCCTTCAAAAATATTGCACTGTCCACAGTTGTAGAATGAAATTGTTCAGTTCAGATATGATGGATAAATATGTTCATTTCAACATCTATCCATTCTTAATTTTTTACTCTCCTAATTCTATCCCATTTTTTTTTCATATTTTTTTTTTCATTTTGTTCTGCTGAGTGTTCTGGTTTTGTAGGCAATTTATGTGTTATAATGCATTTTTGTATGTCTAATATCTCTGTTTATTAATATTCTCTCCTAATACCCAGATATGTATAGCTTTTCCATTGAACAGCATTATGGTATAAACTTTAGAGGATAAATACTGACCATTTCAATTTCTGCACTGGCTCTCATAGGGCAAATTATTAGAAGTATATTTTAATTTGCAATGCTGCATTTTAAGGCAGCCCAAACAAATTCATCTTTAATTCTTAGGTCTGGATCGCTTCCATTTTATTTTTCTATCTTGTTCTGTGTAACATATAAAATGGGTATGACTGAATTTGGAGCACAGCAAAGCTCAGTTACTGAGGGTTCAAAATTAAAAACTGGGTGACTGCTTTTGTGTATTTGGATTGTGTCGCTGTTTGTGTATTTCCGAGTATTAACATTTCTGGATAGGATGGTGGGTTGGAATTTACCTGAGAGTGCGCTGAAGAACGAATCCTCTTCCTCATCCTCAGGGGAGGAAGATCCTCCCACATCTCCGGTGTGGTCCCACTCCAGTGGAATGGAATCAACGCTGACAGGGGTCTCACAGCCAGACCTCTCAGGACCCCCTGCAGTAGGTATGAGGTGGCAGAGAGACTGCTGCGATGGTGGCCCCTCCGGAACTGTCTTCTTTGGCCAAGGATCAACTTCCATCCCCCTTGCGTGGTCTGAATCAGCTTCGTTTTCTGAAGACTCTTTTTCATCTTCCAGTCCCTCAACAAGACAACAGAAATACTGATGTTGAACACAAGTTATTAACAATAATTACTTACGGAACTACTTTGTGGTCTCAGTGTTCAAGAAAAATGGGAATCCTCCAAAGTAGGATTACTTATTTGAATTTATTAACTGCCCAACTATAACAGTCTCTGAGTTGCCTACTCCCTTCTTTCTTCTAAATCAGTGTTTCTCAGCCTTGGAAACTTTAAGATGGATGGACTTCAATTCCCAGAATTACCCAGCCAGCTGTGACAAGGCTTGCCTTCTGAAACTCTGCATGATCTTTAGTACCTTAGGGGCCAGGTGATCATGATACAGCTCTGTTTTGATTGTGATTGAAGCATTCAATCATATGCCATTTGAAGACAGATCAGAAACCACTGAAAACCTTAGAAAAGAAATAACCTGTCCTTTAATTACAACAAAGTGTTCTTATTCCATCTTCTAAAGTTGTGTTTTATTTGTCACACAGACACACCCATCTAGCCACATACATAAATACATACATATAGCCTTTCTCTTTAGAACTCAGAGCATATAAACAGGTGACCTACATCTAGCCATTAATCAGATCCTTCCTGCTTAGTGTCCAGGTGCCCTGGAATCAAAGAAAAAACACTTTGGATATAATAATAACCCCTTCCTTAACTTGGAAAAATACCCCAGTGTTTTAATTATTGGAAGTTTGGAGAATACATCTTCCATGTTCTTTATCTACATGGCTTTTGAAAATGAATCTATTGGCAAAGAAACAACATGGGTTCCAGCAAAGATACAACTTCATTAGTTCTTACTGGATGCCAGGATATCAGTCTCTGGTGGAATCGAGCTACTCGGCCAAACACTTCCTGGCAGTAACTATAAAATTCTTCTAGTTCCTCTTCGAGTATAATGGCATCCTCTGGTTCACTTTTTTGAATCAGATACAACCCAGAAGCAATCAGCTGGTCAATCTTACTGGTGTTTAGCATTATTTCCCTCTGGAAACCCTGTTTAAAAGACAGATAATTATGCTTCCTAAATATTACTGCACAGATTACTTAATTAGTGCAATTCAGATTAATCAATCTCATAAAGAGAGGTTGGGAACATATATGGAGAAGCACAGAATATTTCAGCATGGAAAAGTTTGGTGAAATTAACTCAGATAAAGCAAATAAAGATGTCCACTCTTCAAGGAAAGTTCTGCCTTTTCTGTCATTTCTTATCAGCCATTTAGATGTCCTTCAATTGGGTAGAAGTATTAGGGGGAATCACCTGCAGTATACCAATAAACAAACTGAAGCTCCTAGGTCATTTAATTTCTTAAGCCAATGGTATCTCATCATGAATGCCAAAACCAAAGGTGAAAACTATAAAGTAGTTAAGATTTTTGTTGATGGTGAGTGCAAGAGCTCTAGGAAACTAGCTCTATAGAGACAATACAAGTGAAGTGAAGATATCTTTTTTTTAACTGGGATACAAGAATGATCTTTCAAGGATAAACATGAAATTCCTAATCTTATATCAGTGATGGCTAACCTATGACACGCGTGTCACTCGTGACATGCCGAGGCACTTTGACTGACACGCCTGTTGGTGTGGGGAAAACCTGCACACTTAGAGACTGCCTGTGCTCTGCTCCAATCCCTGCTCCCTGCTTGTTGCGTGGAGGCGTGGTGTCACCGCTGCCGCAAGATCTTTGCAGCAGAGAACCAGTTTTAACTGCCATAAACTGAGGTTTGTCAGTTTCATTACCTCAGGAACGCTACAGGAGGAAAGGAGATCCATAAGGTTCATAGCCCTGTAAGGTGGCCTTCCGATCCCCACATCCTGCACCTGCAGCCCTGAGACCAGGGAGACGAGTTTCACAGCCCTGTGTGATCACCCCAGCCCAGTCCGTCATAAACCAAATTATTGATATTTCTTGAAGTGACACACGACCCGAGGAAGGCTACACTTTTTCCCGATTTTCGACACACCAAGCTGAAAAGGTTAGCCATCACTGTCTTATATGGTAACCAATAACCAAGAAGGAATTAAGCTGGACTGGCCAAGAATGGTGGCAAGAAAGGACTGATCAACTCTGGATATAAAAGAGACCTCAAACTTATTATTTCAGATATTCTAAATGTAGCTTTGTTTTATTTAGATAGCAGTTTAAATAGTGTTCTCTAAATTTATGGGGCTTCTATCAAAGAATTTAAATGAACTAAGTATATATACAGGTACCAAATACAAGCACCAGACTAAGATAATCAGTAGGACGTTTGAAACCCATCTCCCCCAATCTATCTGAAACATTTTCCTTAAAAAAAGAAGTCAATATTTACATTAAGCTGCCGCATTTTGTCATCAAAATCACTCTTTGAGAAATGTTCCACATTTGTCAGCTGCAGATCCATTTCTGTTAACCACACCAGGATGATGTTGTCCTTTGTTCCCATAAATTCTTCCCACTGACTGGTAAAGTGCTAAAGGCAATAAAATAATACAGATACTCAAAGCAATAGTTGTGATAACACACAGTGTCCTTAAAAATCTTCTATTTAGTAACATCTTAAAATGTGTTGATGTGCTATGGTATCAGGAATGAATGAAGCAAAAATAAAAATTCATTCACTCAAGCCTGCATCTCAAGCTGTAAATTTCACAGAGCGCATCTGGTAATCTTTCTGATTAAAATCACTCAAGTGTTGTTAGTCAATTATACAAATGTAATGATTAGATTTAGCTATCTTCCCTGCCAAAGAGTTTAGGGAAGTATACGCAATTCTTTTGCATGCCTTATCATAATCCTACAAGACAGTTAAGCTTGAATATGTGCATATGGCTGGTCTAATGAATTTAATGACTAAAAATGGATTTGAAGCGGAATCTCCTGCTTTTTAGTTTGACATTCTAATCACATTTAGTTCTCCTCCTGATTTAATTTCAGGACTGAAACCCAGTTTGTGCATGCAAGAGGTTGTAGACTGAACCTCTAATGTCTCCAAATAAAACAAGGGCTAAAGGAATAGTATAACAAGGAAAAAAAAACCTCTAGTTCAGGGCTGTCAAACTTGCAGCCTGCGGGCCGGATGCGTCACCTACTGGCCACACCTAAGCCCGGTTTAGTGAAGGAGAAAAAAGTCACGGTACATCATGTGACGACACCGTGACAACATGAGTTTGACACCCCTGCTTTAGTTTAAGGTATATTAAACAATGTCATTAGAAGGGTTGGAAAATTGATGCAGTCACTTTTGTGATCGTTTTATAGGTGCTGAATTCAGTGATGGGATTCAAATTTTTTTACTACCGGTTCTGTGGACGTGGCTTGGTGGCTGTGGCAGGGGAAGGATACTGTAAAATCTCCAGTCAAAGGTGGTATTTGCCAGTTCTCCGAACTACTCAAAATTTCTGCTACTGGTTCTCCAGAACTGGTCAGAATCTGCTGAATACCACCTCTGGTTGAATTCCACATTATGCAATTTCTTATGAACCTTTCTAAGTTTTATTAAAGCTTATAAATGCCCATATGTGTTAACTTCTCTATAAGTATTGGAAATATTAGCATCATTAGCTTCATTCAAATAAGTTAACAATAACAATAATTTGTTTAACACAAAGTTAGATAACATACTGCATGACAAATATTTTGCACTTCAGTTCCCATCAGACCCAATCAGCAAGGCCAATGATTAAGGACTATAGAAATGGTCATTTGGAAGAGACCAGGATACCCACCTTTAATTTATAACCATCAAGGATTGGTAGAAACTATTTTCTTTCATTATTTAACAAGCACATCACATTACAATCAGGAGGCAGTTAACTGACTAAAATCATTTTGCCAACTCCATGGCAAAGTATGGCTTTGAATCCAGGACATTTTGATCTTTCTCTAATATATGATGCCTTATGGAGATTATAAGAGCCTTTGTAGCACCATGGTTAGAATGTAGTATTGCAGGCTAACTCTGCCCACAGCCTGGAGTTCAATCCTGACCGGCTAAGGTTGACTCAACTTTCCATCCTTTTGAGGTCAGTAAAATGAAGATCCAGATTGTTGGGGCAATATGCTGGTGTTGCAAACCACTCAGAGAGTGCTGTAAAGTACTATGGAGCAGTATATAAGTCTAAGTGCTATTGCTACACTAACTACAATGCTACGCCAATTTGCTCTCAGATACTACAATTCTCTAATTCTGCAAATTTGAGTAAGTATAGAACTGAAATCAGAGGTGGTATTCAGCAGGTTCTGACCAGTTCTGGAGAACCGATAGCGGAAATTTTGAGTAGTTCGGAGAACCGGCAAATACCACCTCTGACTGGCCCCACACCCATCTATTCTGTACCTCCCGAGTCCCAGCTGATCGGCTGGGTCTTCTTTAGTTGCCCTGCACAGGAGAACAGAGTTGGAAAGCAGGTTAGTGGGGTGGGGAGGGGAGGGGATTTTGCAGTAACCTACCCCTGACACACCCACCAAGCCATGCCCACAGAACCAGTAGTAAAAAAATTTGAATCCCACCACTGACTGAAATAATTTCATTTAGGAAGTCAGAAAGTCTAGGTGATGGTTCCATGAGAGCAGTGTTTATCAACTTTGGCAACTTAAGATGCTTTAAGATGCATGCTGGTCAGGGAATTCTGGGAGTTCTTATCTTAAAGTTACCAATTCTGCACTACAGAATTCAACAAATTCCTCTTCCTTCTTGTTCCCTTAAGAATACATTATCCTAGACCTCTAATATCTGCTTTGTCTACAAGGCCAAATGTGCTTTTTCAAGAGGCAACTGGACTTTCTGGTTTTTCGCTGAAGGCATTTCATTCTCATTTAAGAAGCTAAAGAAGCTTCTTGGATGAGAAGCGAAATGTCTTCAGAGAAAAACAAGGAAGTCCAGTTGCCTCTTGAAAAAGTACCTTTGGGACAACCATGACCTGGATGACTGAGAATCTCCACAGACATTTGTCTCCAAACCTATTTGCAACTACCTTAAGTCTCCTGAGAATTGCTGTGACACGTTTCTGAAGATTGTCCCATCGGTGATTACCCTCATAAACCATCTGCTTGAGCTTGTTAGCTGAATCAGTGCGATTCTCACGGGCCAACCGCCGATATTGCTTATTGATTAATTCCAGCTGGGTTAGTCGTTCATGAATTTGCCGCTGAAATGCCTGAGGAAAAAAAGTACTTTATTTTTTCCAAAAGATTTAAAATTAATGCATTCAAAATAATGAGGAGGAAAGTTGCTACCCAAGAAAAGTGAAGAATTAAAATATAGGATATGTTGATATCACTATTTGGTAAATTTACCTAATTTACATCTATACACAAAGATGGAAAAACTACAAAAGGAGTTCTTACTTCAAATTTCTTTAACTCTTCCTTGGCTGTTACATACAAAATCTCTGAAGAGTTGGGATAAGCTGCGGTTTTCTCTGCTGTTTTCAACCAAACTTCAAAACGAGAGTAATCTTCCAAAAACTTTTGCCATAGTCGCCAAGTTGCCTCAATCCTATTGCAGAAACAAGCAGCAACAGTTTATTTGCAAATATGCATCCCTTTCTGCAAGACGTCCTGCATCAAAATTCATTTATGTTTCAATCTAAACTGAACCAAACCAAATCCAATCCAATAAGCTACACTCGATTCAACTAAAAAAGTGCATTCAGAAATACTCCTAGCATTGGCATTGCTGATGTTATGAAATTGGCATCAAACAACCAAGCTCAGAGAACTGGATATCCTGACCTGATATATTCTCTTCTATTAGCATTCAAAAATATCCTGAATCAAAAATATTTTAACTAAAATGTATTTTCTCCGGAATGGAAAAAGATATACGTGACCTGAAGTACTAAATTAAAATGATTCAAAAAGGTAATTTCTAAAGATTTGTTTCATGTTTTATAGAAAGTGCAGGGATGTGCATTTGCATGCATTCCATTCTATTTCCTCACAACTCAGTTGGCTATTTCGTCTTTTAATCCCAAGTCCCAAGATTTGGAGTGTCAGGTTTGTAGACTGATACAACAATATAGTATTCAATCTTAACTATGAGGTCTTGGTTTGCATTCTGGCATTTTCTCAGAGATATATGCCAACACATCAAACACAGAAAAATGCATATACCAAATATATAATATAGTATATGTTCTGTGCCTGGAAAATCTGTATGTTGTAGCCTAGGTAAAGTATGTAAATTAATCAAATGTTAAATTTGTCATTTTGGAATAATATCAACTGTAGGCATTTCAAAATGTTTTAAATAATTTATTCTAGCTTTAGTTACCACAACTAGGAGCAAAGAGCTGAATAAAACATTGACATTTACATTCTCTCATCCCAGACAATAAATGTATTTAGTTTAGGGGTATTGAGGAACCAGAGCAATATCTCAGATAGAGATTTTCTCATCATTTCTTTTTATATGGAGAATGAAGCAGAGTCCAATGAACATAAGGGACTAAATTAATATTTCCTACCAGCAAATTGCTAATCTGTTCTTTCTTTCAAGAATAGATTTTTGGGCTTTTCATAGAAATTGTTTAAAAAAGTAACATGTTTTGGGGGTTGGGTTTTGTTCTTGTTTTTTTTGAGAAAAGAGAGAAATAATGCCTCACTTCATCCGCCTCTCTATAGACATGGCACAGATGTTTCTCCACCGTCTTTCTAAGCTCCTTGTTGTCTGCTGGATTGAATCACATTCAGTCTCATTGGCACAGGCATCAGAATCATGCAGCAAGATCTCACATATATTGAAGACTGATTCCACACCTGCTGTGTGCTGTTCAATGTCCCTTTGCAGGTCCTACAACCATGAGCAAAAAGTCATCTCCAGTTGTAGTGTTAGTTTCGTACAACACAACAGAAGAAGCCACTGATATGTCACATGAAAGATCAAACATTCCATATACCCAAAGACTTACCTAATGATTGCTATATATTAGTCATATGATTAATTGTGACCGACTGTTGGTAAGAGATCAAATGAGTACATACACTTGTCAAATAAGAAGCTGCACATATAACCCAATAGTGGCAATCATTCTAAGTTTTCTCCTTAACATTATATTTTGGGAGGATTATTATGGAGGAACATTTAAACATTTAATTCCTCCACTTTTAGGCTTGAAAAACCTTGAAGCATAGCTATATAAACAAAGTTTTAACCTATATTAAAATATAGGATATTAAAATATTAAATTCTATCATCCTATGCATAGCTACTGCACTTCCCCCTTTGAATTTTTGTAGTTAAAAGCACTAATATACAAATAATCTGTTTGAACAGACATCAGAGATATTCATTTTCAGACATTGAACTCTTGTCTGGAAACGTTAATCTTCTTATGCCTTAAAATTTTCAGTCTTGGTAATACCTGCTACTATCAATCCTCCTTACGTGCATATCCTTATTCATGGAACTACCTATATAATTTTCTTGACAACATATAAATGATTTGCAGTTGTTTGTATTCAATCATATAGTAAGAAGTCATCTAGCCTAGATTGTAAGGTTTTCCTTTGAAACCCTTACTCTATCAATTAAATTAGAAGGCCACAGGGCAGATCCAATGCAACATAACATATCCAGGTATTCTGCTGGTCAAGATCCATTGGAAAGACTGCAGATTGCATGAATATAAGTATTCCTACAAAGCTTTTTTTCATTTAATGTTCAAGAAAACTTCTCAATAGATTCTCCTATTTCTTTCTGACTAGCTCTATATTATAGAGATAAGTTAGGAGCTGATCACAGCAATTCATGATTCAGACACCTAAAGCATTCAATGGAAACTTCAAATTGGACACTTTTAAATTATTAATAGGCATTCCAAGTAAAGTGATTGGTTTTCTGAACTACATGAAAAGATATGCTATATGAAACTAATAGAATGATCTAACTCAACATTGTGCAAGTTACAGCAGACATACACCTCTAAAGTTTACAAGCAGGGCATAAAAACAGCAGCATTTCTAGTTGTTTGTTCTGCATTTGTTCTTTAATAAACTATGTCTAAAATTTAGAGATTCTACTTTAGTATTTTGTGCTAGATATACTGATAGACACTATCCCCCATGAGATTCAGTAATTTTGTATGTGTGTCTACATTGGGGTGTATACTGAGTCTGTAGGCAATTCCCAGTGCTATAATATATCACTTCACTACAACTAAAGTCAATGCCTCAATTTGAGCTGCTAACAAAGCTATAAATAATTGGAAATATTATTTTGGCAGGAGAGATGAATCAAAGAAATATGTCTCTGAAAGACCACAGCTGGAAAATGCAATGGAAATCACAATTTGAAGAGAAAATAAAGGAATTAGAAAAGCTTTGTAAAACCAGCCTAGATTGAGAAGTATTAAGAAAGTTAAATAAAGAGTTAGATTTATTGGAAATGGTAGAACTTCAGCAGAAGATAAAATATGTCCAAAAATTTACTTTGTAAATGCAAACAAATCAGGTAAACTTCTGGGTTATCAAATTAGAAAAGAGAAAAAAGGATGCTTGGAACAACATAGAAAGAAAAATTATTACAGTCCATACAAGAAAAAAAAAGAATTAAAAAAGATTTAAGGAATTGCATTCTAGATAAAAAATTGACAAAGGAAATTTAGAAACATATATTTCAAAGCCTAAAATTTTACATAAGAACATAGAGAAATCTTATGGAAATTAATAACAATTTAAGAGATTAAAGAAGCAATAAGAAAATTAATAAAGCACCAGCACAGTATAAAAATGTACAAGAGAATTGAGTAGAACCATTATTGAAGACGATGCATGAAATTCAAATAAAAACAATACCAAAGACTTGGGAAGAGGAATAGAAGGGAGTGATCTCAGGAACTCTAATTGGCCCAACTCTTTCAGTTCTACTTTTCTCCACCCTACCTGCTGCTCTGCAAGTCTCCTCTGTATTTCTTGATCATCACAGATGTCATAAACAATAGGTTTAGAAAGCTCAGATTCAATGCGTGCCAACCATGTGTGAAGATGACTCATATTTTTGTCCAGCTGTTGTATGAAAGCAAAGGTATCTTTCAACTTCTTCACTCTGGAATGAGGAAAGGATACATAATCAAGACAAGCATAAAGCATGCAAGAGAGGGTGTCTGTGTATATGCGTGCATAGTTGTGGCATGTCACTTTTCATTTAATTGAATTTCAATAGACATCAAGCTTTGAATTCAATGCAGTAACTTACCCCAAGCTGCTACCTTAAAGGTATTTTGGAGTATTACTTCAGTCATCCCAACCAACATTTGGAGAAAGCTGAAGTTCAATCTAATCAGGTTGGGGGAAGTAACCATGCAATCGAATTACTACTTGACTGCTGACACTCCTTTAGAGCAAAAGAGAACTATATGACTCAAAAGAGCTGTACAGTTCTTCCAAAAACAGCCATTTGGACAAATATATTAATTTCTAAATCAACTGCCACTTTAGCATAGAAGTGTTTATCTCAAAAGTACTGTCTTACACCTGACAGAGACAGCCATTTTGCTTCCAATATTAGTATTAAAAATCTTCAGTTTGCAGCAAAATTCTAGGCTGAAATAGGATCCTGGATACTGATCACATATCTTGATAATTAATTAATAACTAAATAATTAAGCTGTTGGAGGCATCTATTAGTCTCCTTCTTCTCTGCAACTTTTCCAATTTCCCTAAATCTGTTAAAAGTGATATTCCCAGAGCCATATTCTTTTCTTCCCCTATATCAGTTGTATGCATCTTTCAAAATCTGCTCCACGTGATTGGGAATTTTCCTGAGAAGTTTCTGGAGAGACACAGAGATTGGCAGAGAAAAGAGAAACTTCTACCAGGCAACTTGAATGCTCATGACAGAATGAATTTTGCTTTGAAAATCTTTTTATTTTAATGGGATGGTTTTAAAAGTCCAGCAAAATGCATGCTTATATTTCAATTTAAATACCCTTCTGAATAGTGGGGTTGATATGTTACTCAAATTTGATAAATCTCCTGAGCAATTAGAGAATACAGGTAGTCCTTGACTTATAACCACAATTGAGCCCCACATTTACTAAGTGAGAAATTCATTACATTTTGCCCCATTTTACAACTTTTCTTGCCACATTTGTTAAGTCAATCACGGAAATGGTTAAGATATTATTAAGTGAATCTGGCTTCCCAATTGACTTTGCTTGTCAGAAGGTTGCAAATAGTGATCACATGACCCCGGGACACTGCAACCGCCATAAATATGAACCAATTGCCAAGCATCCAAATGTATATCACATGACCATGGGGATGCTGCACTCGTTAGAAGTGTCAAAAATGGTTGTAAATCTTTTTTTTTCAGTGCTGTTGTTGAAGAAAATACAAAATAAGGTCAGGGGACCTGGAACATTTCAAAGCATCTGACGCCAATCTGATGAAGGCCAAGCTAGTATGTAAGGCAGGATTTTTTTAAAAAATGAAATAAATAAATATTCCAAATAGGAGAAAGATTTGGCATGTTTCCCCAGAGACATCGTGAGCAACATGCAACCACAAGCCTTTGTGCAAATAGATTCTACTTATGCCAGGTTCCATAGACAGAGCCAGCATTTGGGGTGGCTGGGTGGGGGATGCAGAACTGTCATGCTGTCAATTCATTCACTCATAACGGGCAGGTACTAATCTCTCTCGACAAGAATGAGGAAAGCAAAGGGTTGATTTCAACAAAGAGGGAGAAGACCCTGAATGTCATTATTGGTTTGCAATTCTCTTCCTCCCCCTGCCACCCTCTGTCCAATCCTCCCTCCACGGACCACACACACGCACCACACACACACACATGCACGACACACACATCGCCATCCATTCTGACAAGAGCTGGGCCCATCCCCCAAGACTGCTGCAGCACACAGACCAGGGTCCTACCGCATCGTACAATTTTATTCTCACCAGACCCCTGACGACCAGAAATGCACTTACTGTTTATAAGGGAAAAGCATTCCTTCGCTTATCAGTCCAAAGCTGCAGGGACAGCATCTGACTGAGCCGAGCACTGGAGGAAGAGGAAACCCCTCCTCCTTGGATGCCCTATTTAATATCACTGCCTTAACATCTCTCCCACATAGAAAGAAAGAAGAGAGTTGGGGGGGGGGGGGGGAATCTCAGGCCTTCCCCTTTTCCTCCTTTGAGCCCTAACTAGAGAGAATGTAGTGCAGACATACCCATACAAACACCTTTAGGTCCATGATGAACAATGCTGCTAAAAAACAAATGCTATTTTTCTTCTGATTTGGTATATGTTCAACAATATCAGATTCAAACCAAAAGCTGGCTTGAAACAGCTAAAGTGCAAAAAAGAAAAGAAAAAGGAACCAACTATTGCTCTTGGAAAAAAAAGAATATTCCATTTTTTACTTGCAGGTGATTTGTTTGCAGGACCATAATGCTCAGTGTGAAAATGCTACTCAAATGACAGACATCTGCTAAACACCTTCCCTTCCCACTCTATTACATAGCATAATTTATGTGTCCTAGACTACAATTTCACATGATCATTATATTGCTCCATTCCCTGTCATAGACACCAAATGTGAGGGTGGAGAATATTAGATTTTGACATTAAGATTTGGGTAATCATGACAGTTTATTCGTTTATTTTACTGGAAGCGTCTGGATTCTGTACAAGAAAACATTTAAAAACATTACAAGTGGTAAAAGAGAAGATGAGAATCATAGGAAACTAAAACCGCAACTGCATAAAATCAAAAGAAACACTACTGAAGAAAATCATGACAAATACAATATAATAATGTTGCAATATAAAATCTTAGACAAAACAAGATTTTGAAATTAATGATATTGGAATTAAGATTAAAGAAAAGTGGTTTTTACTTAGCACTGTATTGAAAATAGTATAATGTAGGTGCCAGTGGACTTCTCAAGGCACAGAAAGAGGGATGTAGGAAACAATGGAATCGGGATGTCCCCATCTAAAAGATAATTTGTTAGTATCCCTGAGATGATCTGAAGAGCTCTATGGGTAGGTAATGTACAGCTACAGATGTGACTTAGTTGTCACAGCGAACCAGGTAAACAGCTAATTATATGCTACTTTGAAAATACAAGAGCAAGTGTTGTGAATGAATAAAGTAAATAAGCCCAAATGCAAAGTAGGTTTTGGAAGCCTGCACATTTGATTGGTCCTTGAACAGCGAACAAGGATTGGTTCATAAAAGCCCTGATTGGCCAAACTTAGGACACTTCCTATTGGTTATTGGTTTGGACCTTATGCACTTATTATTGGTTAATAGGGCAGCAGTAACCCTTTTATAGGGTTGGCTGCTACCCTATT